GCCTGGCGGTCGGCCGCCACGAGCGGAAGCCTCGGGCTGCGTTGCTCCCATCGTACTTCAGCTGGGGATCCCAAGACCGTGTGGTGGCAGACCGTGCGGTGACCTCGGAACCCCAGGAGACCTCACCGCACGGTCCGTCACCGCACGGTCTTGGGACCCTGGAGGCCCCTGTCGCCCGAGACATCCTCGGAGAGGGACTCGAGTCCCAAAACCGTGCGGCGACCCCGAATCCCCACCGACTCACCACACAGTGTGGTCACCACCCCGTTTGGGGGCCCCCGATTAAGAGCCACAACCCAGAAATAATTTCGAGCACCCGGAAAAGTGTCAAGAGAGTGTCGAAACAGTGTCGGGCGAGTGTCTCCAGGGGCCCGACGCGTGGAAGCCCTCGGGCTTCGGTGCATTCTTGGTGCTCCACATTCCTTCTGGTGATCAAGGCCTAAGTCGGTTGGAACATCCTACAGTCGGGCCGCTGAAAGAAGGAACGCCAAATACTGAACGAAGCCCCTTTCTTGGCCCTGTGAGCGCATCCGTGCCCCGGGATGGCAAGAGGAACGGCACTGTGGAGGAACCCAAGGAACACCGAGCCCCTTCCCGAGCCCAAACCGTTCCTTTTATTTCAGCGCCTTCACTGTGAGCCTCGGGGGCAGCCTGCCGAGAAGGGCGGGGCGGCCCCTCTCGCCATCGCTCGGACGTCCCTTCCCTGTGTTTTTGGTCGGTGTCGTGCGTGGTTTTTTGCCAAATGATCAAAGATGCTCCTCGATTGTCCTCGCCGAAGGAAAAATGCACACGTCCGAGCGATGCCAAGCCCTGGCACGCCCGGGGGGGGGGCCCCCGTCGGGCGCACTGCTGGACGTGGACCACCTCGGGGAGAGGAGTGCGCCCCCCGCAGGCAGGGAGCCAACCGCCGCTGCGCAGCGCGCCGCCTCGCCGTGCGGCAACGGGACCCGTCGCTCGTCCATTGAGCAGGGACCGACCGTCCCAGCATTCCCATAGTCATACACCGAAGTGCTCGTAGAACCCCAAGAAGTTCTCAGAACAGAAACACGGTTCTTAGAACAGAAGCCCGACGCGGTAAAACAGGACAAATCTCAGCCAGAAATGTTCTGAACACATTTCGTGGAAACCACAAAAAAAAGGTTCTCATAATACTGTTTGGTAGGGCTATAGGCACGCCAGGACGCTTCGCCACTGCTTGAGTCCACGCGCCTCGGGCCACGCTAAAAAAGGGACTTAGAATACTGTTTGGTAGGGCTATAGGCACGCCAGGACGCTTCGCCACTGCTGGAGTCCACGCGCCTCGGGCCACGCCAAAAAAGGGTCTTAGAACACTGTTTGGTAGGGCTCTAGGCACGCCGGGACGCTTCGCCACTGCTCGAGCCCACGCGCCTCGGGCCGCGCCTGCGCTGCCTCGACCCCGGCGGCGAGACGAGGGGCTGACGGGCTCCCTGGATCGGGGAGACGTGCGGCTCGGGCTCGGGGGCCTCGGGTGGGCTCGAGGAGGAGGAGGAGGAGGAGGAGGAGGAGGGGGAGGAGGAGGAGGAGGAGGAGGAGGAGGAGGAGGGGGAGGAGGGAGGAGGAGGAGGAGGAGGAGGACGAGGAGGAGGAGGAGGAGGAGGAATAATAACAATAAGAGGACGGGGCCGCCAGGGAAATGGCGAGACCCGGCCTGAAACCCGGCGCGACCTCCTGCTGCAGACGTCCCACGAAAACTGCACCGCCAGCAGCCCCGGCGGGCTCGTCAGGAAGCGCCAGCAAGCCCGCGCACTGGCGAGCTCGAGCCTCACGGCTCCGGGGAAGCCGAGAGGTGACTACCAACACCACTGCTGCCCGAACCTCTCCCCGGGCGTGCTCTGACCAGGATCTCGAAGCGCATCCGGCGGTGGCGACGAGGGCAGGATCTCGAGGCGAGTCCAGCGGCTCCCAGGAGGCCCACAAAAAGAGGAAAACGGCGCGGAGGTGGCGGTATGGGTGTACCTTTTCCTCCGCCGAGGCTCCCCGACTGGAGGCCTCCGAGCAGCTGCGCACGCCCCAGCACCCCGGGGCTCGGCCTGAGGGGGGGGGGCCCAGGCGAGGTCACTGCACCGACCTCGAAGACGTGCTGCAGCGGATTTTCGCGTGGCTTTCCGCCAACGCAAAACCCCGAGACGGCGAGTGAAAAACGACGTGAATTTCGCGTGGATGTTTGGTCAGCCTGCCTTCCTGGCCGAGAACAATCCGCACGAATTTTGCCAGGAAAGCCAGAGCGAAATTCTCCAGGAAGCTCCGGGCCCATCCGATCGTTTTCCGACCGAGATCCGCTCTTGAGTATCGTTTAACCAATCCCCGTCCCCAGCGGCGTGGCCTGGGCCCCAATGGCCGATGTGCACCTCTAGATGGGGATATAGGCCGTTCCCTTCGGACTTCGAGGGGTGCCTCCCCAACTGGGGGGTAATTTGCTGGGAGTCTCGAGGAGGATGGGGATGGGGATAGGATGGGATCGGGATGGGGATAGGAGCGAGATTCTCCAGGACGCTCTGGGCCCATCCGATCGTTCTCCGACCGAGATCCGCTCTGCGCTGTTGGCGCCGTGAGGAGAGGGCGGATGGACCGAGGGGGAGCCGCGGGGAGCGGGGATGGGCCTCGGGTGCGCCACCGCCCCCCCGGCGCGAGGGGCGCGCTCCAGCCCCGGCCGTTGGAGGGGGAAGAAGCAGGGCAAGAGCTGGAGGCCTGGAGATGAGCAACACAGGGGCAGGGGGAGGAGGAGGAGGAGGAGGAGAAAGAGGAGGAGGAGGAGGAGTGAGGAGGAGGAGGAGGAGGAGGAGGAGGAGGAGGAGGAGGAGGAGGGAGGAGCAGGGGGAGGAGGAGGAGGAACCGGTGGCGCGCAGGGCCAGTGCTAGAGGCTTGGAAATGGGCACCAACACCAACACAGGGGAGTTCCTCCACAGGGGGAAGATTATCCTAGATCTCGGCGTTGGTGGTAATATTTCGGCCACCCTGGAAGCGAGAATATTGCCACCATCACCGGGATCGGAACGTTCTTCCCTCGGTGGAGGCACACCGCCTTGGTGTTGGTGTCAACCTCCAGGCCTGCGAAAGAGGAAGGCAGAATAGAGACAATATCGGGACGATCTGAAATGGAAAGCTCTGAGAATCGGCGGGCCTGTGGAAGATGTGTCGGGGGCGCCGCGGCCGTTTCAGAGCGCCTGTCGAAACGCTCTGGAACGGACTTATCTCGATCCTAGACCCGTCCGCGATGGAGGAGGAGGAGGAGGAGGAGGAGGAGGAGGAGGAGGAGAAGGAGGAGGAGAATGTGAAGGTGGAGGTGGAGGGAAAGAGGAGGAGGAGGAGGAGGAGGCGGAGAACGACGACGACAACGACGACGACGAGCAATCCTGGCTCAACTCTCCGAAGATCAGGAACGGGGAGGTCGGGGGTGTGAGCGGAGAGACCCTGAGATCCGACGTTGCCAAAACAAGCTGCAGCATCGCGAAAAATCACAGCCAGAACCCGGGGTCCAATCTCTCCGCGCCACGTCTCGAGCAGGACCGATATGTGAGGGCCCCGGGCCCCGAAACTGGACGAGAACGCCCAGCGTGAGCAAAGTTGCAACGACCAGGATCTGAGGGGAGCGGAGAGGGAAGAGGTCTCCGCTGTCGCCGCCGACGACGACGACGACGACGACGACGACGACGACGACGACGACGACGACGACGGCCGACGAGGTCTCCGACGACGACGACCACGACGACGACGACGACGACGACCACGACGACGACGACAACAACGACGACGAGTAATTCTCGATCCAAGTCCAGCAAGGGATGTGCGCGCCCAGCCCACGTGCGTGAGCGCGCGCCCGGCCACGCGCGGGGGTGTGCCCCGCAAATGGCGAGGGCGCCCTCGTGTGAGGACAGTGCACGCGTACGTCTCTGCTTCGCTCGCGAAGACGTCCAAGATCCTCGATCAACGGCCCCTCCTCCTCCTGCTCCTGCTCCTCATCCTGGTCCTCCTCCTCCTCCTCGTCCTCCTCCTCCTCCTCCTCCTCCTCCTCCTCCTCCTCCTCCTCTCTCATCATTCATCATCATCATCATCATCACCATCATCATCATCATCATCATCATCATCATCATCATCATCATCATCATCATCATCATCATCATCATCATCATCATCATCATCATCATCATCATCATCATCATCATCATCATCATCATCATCATCATCATCATCATCATCATCATCATCATCATCATCATCATCATCATCATCATCATCATCATCATCATCATCATCATCATCATCATCATCATCATCATCATCATCATCATCCCGAGGGGGTCAAAGCGCGCCTGTCGGCCCAGAGCGCGAACTCGGCGAACGACACAAGCCCGTTCGAGTCGTGGTCTATTTTCTCGCGGGGGCGGCGCGGAGGCCGCTGCCACAGGGATCACTCGTCGTCGGCGTCGTCTTTGGCGCCGTCGTTGCACGCAGACACTATCCTCCGCGGCCTCCTCCACCTCCTCCTCCTCCTCCTCCTCCTCCTCCTCCTCCTCCTCTCCTCCTCCTCCCTCTCCTCCTCCTCCTCCTTCTCCTCCTCCCTCCTCACTCCTCCTCCTCCTCCTCCTCTCCCCGTCCTCCTCCTCCACCTCCTCCTCCTCCTCCTCCTCCTCCTCCTCCTCCTCCTCCTCCACCTCCTCAAGTTCCCCCTCATCCCCAACGGCCGGAGGTTCTGAGCGTTCGCCCTGCACGGCGGCGGGAACTGGGCATCCCCACCGCGTGGAGAGAGCTGCCACCGTGCTCGCAGCGCTCGGCGTGCGTCGAGCCCGTGCGCTGTTCGCGCGTACCTTGCCGTCGCTCGGACGTCCATTTCCCGTGGTTTCGTGCGTGTTTGTGCTGTTCGATGGTCCAGGATGGTCCTCGATGGTCCTCGCCGAAAAAAAGATGCTCACGTCCGAGCGATGCCAGGGTACTTTTCCGCATCGCGAGAGTCGATCCACCGCGCCCCGCCCGCCCGGGGGATGCGCAGGCCTGTGAGATGGCTGGCCGCCCCCACCCCCCAAGTGTGATAACACAAAAAAACACCCGTTCGGGGCATCGTTGCCGTGCCAGTGCAGCGCATGATTGCGGTCATTCCCCCCGCATGGTGTGCTGCAAGACTGCACGTGTACACGCATGCATGCTTTGCGCTTCCGTAGCCGCCGAGGCTCGAAAATCGTAGGGGCATGTTTCCCGTGAACTAGAGTCAGGCAGTGTTGTAAACATCGCGCATCCACAGCTTGAGAGTTCTCTGGTTTCGTCCCCCTCCCCCAGGGTCTGAAATCCGAACACACGGGGGGGGGGTATGAAATCCGATCACACGGGGGGTGTCTCCGAGCTCACCGACGCTCCCCCTGGGGCCTCGAGAGCTTCCATTTCTGCAGTGTGGCCTCGAAGATGCCCAAGAATCGACCTACGCTTGCTCAAGCAGAGATCGAACACGCACAGGAGCCACAAAGATGCCCTGAGAGGGCTCCAAGATGAACCCCGAGAGGGCCCCAAGGAGCCAGAACCGTCCAAAGTCCAGAGGGAAACGTATAAGCCGAACAGACTCGCATCTTGCGGTCCCAGCAGCGTCCAGGACGGCTCGAGAGGCAAGACGGCCACAGAGGCGCCCACGGCTGCCCAAGATAGCCCCAATAAGGGCCCCCAGGGAGGGGCCCACGAGAGGTGGCTCGAACTTGGAGGACCCGCGAAGACCGCCCGCAGGCGCCCCAGGAGACTCCCAGGAGGCCCGAGGCGGCCCCCGAGAGTGGCCCCCCGGAGGGGGCCCCCTAAGAGGCCCCAACAGGCCCCCCCCGTGGACGCCGTCCCTCTTATGGGGGCCGGCGGAATGGCGTAAACCTCTCGAGTGACTCCTCCTCCATCCTCCTCCTCCATCCTCCTCCTCCCTCCTCTCCTCCGCCTCCTCTCCTCCTCCTCCTCTACTCCTCCTTCCTCCGCCTCCTCCTCCACCTCCCTCCCTTCCCCTCCTCCTCCCTCCTCCTCATCCTCCTCCTCCTCCTCCTCCTCCTCCTCCTCCTCCTCCTCCTCCTCCTCCTCCTCCTCCTCCTCCTCCTCCTCCTCGAGCCAACCAGATGCCCCCAAGAGCCCTCCAAGAGGCCCCTGAGAGGCATTCCAGGAGACCCGTGCCTGCATCCCCGAGGCTCCTGACCGACAAGCCAGGCGGGGCGGCACGACTCTTGACAAGTCCGGTGTTACGGGGGTCGGCGGAACGGTGCAAACCTCAAAGGGGCCCCGAAGACGCTTGAAAAGGCCCCAAGATGACCCCCAGGAGGGCTCGAATCTGCCAAAGTATGGATTACACGTGGATTGCTTAAAAGCTTCTGGCGCTGCAGCCCCAAAAGGCCCCCAGGAGGGCCCCAAGACGGCGCAGCAGGACCCCAGCATGGCCCAACAGGCCCCCAAAACAGCCCCAAGAGGGGCCTAGGAGGGTCTGAAGGAGCTCCACGGCGGCGCTCAAGCGCCCCCCAGGAGGCCCCAAGACGGCCCAGAAAGATCCCCCGAGTCTGCCTCCGAAGGCGTCAGACGGGCAACGATGGCCCTAAGACGACCCCAGAGGCTCCCGAGAGACCCCCGGAGGCCCCAAAGGGCCCCCCCAAGATGCTTGCTCCTCGTTAGTAACAACGCTGGTCCAGCTGGCATGCTCGACAGCGACGGAGCAAGACGCTCTCTGGAGACTGCGTGGCAGCGGTGGGAAGGATGGGATCAAGCGCAAGCGCGCTCGATGTGAAGGGGGAAGTCCACCCTGGTCAACCGAGGATGAGGTAGGGGGGCGTGACTGCCATCGCTCGGACTTCCACTCCCCATGCATGGTTCGATGCCGTGCGTGCGCTTTTCTCGCACGATGATCCAAGATGCTCCAAGATGCTCCAGCTGACGCTGGCCTCGCCGAGAAAACTGCACACGTCCGAGCGATGTCAAGGCGAATGAGGGGGGAGCACCAGCAGCGATCGCGAGCACGACGGTGGTGAGGAGACCGACGAGGCAGCGACCTCGCACTAGAAGAAAAAACTGCAGAAGCAGAAAGTGTTGGAGGTCCGCGCAGATCTCTTGGATCGGCGCTGGGACCCCGCTCCTGGCGAGCGGAGCGCGCCAGGGGCAGCGCCCCCGACGCGCCGCCAGGGGGACCCAGTGCCGATCCAAGAGAGCCGCGCGGACCTCCAACTGTTGATGGTTCCAGTAGGAACTCGACCACGAGAAACCTTCCCCGAGAAGCCCGACCCTGAGACCCGATGGAGTCCATGGAATGCTGGTGTGGGGGCGTCACGCATCCCAACGCAAAACCATCGAGCCCCAAGAATCCCAGGGCACCCCGGAGGCAAGCAGGGTGCGTCTTGGCATGGGTTTCAACTGAGTATATCATTGGCTGTCGTGTTTGCATTGCTGGTTTGGGGGATGTTCGGTGGCAACTCGTGGGGGCCTCACATACCCCTTGTCGGCTCATGCGAATGAACGCTGATCGATGCTAAATCAACGCTAATTGAGGTTGAAGCGACGCTACATTGACGCTAGTTGACGCTGAATCGACGCCTATCGACGCTGAATCGGCACTACCTCATCGACTCCCAGACGCTAATGGACGCTGCCGTGGCGGCATTTCTTCTCCCAGGCACGGCGGGCTCCTGCCGTGGCGGCGCTGGCCCCCGCGTCCCGACACCGCGCGAGCCGCCCAGTCCAAGACAGGCGCCTGCTGCCGGAGGTCCTCCTCCTCCTCCTCCTCCTCCTCCTCCTCCTCCTCCTCCTCCTCCTCCGCCTCCCCTCCTCCGTCCCCTCCGCGTCCTCCTCCTCCTCCTCCTCCTCCTCTTCCTGCTCCTCCTCCTCCTCCTCCTCCTCCTCCTCCTCTTCCTCCTCTTCCTCCTTCCTCCTCCTCGCCTCCCCCTTCCTGCTCCTGCTCTGCTCCTCATCATCCTCCTCCTCCTCCTCCTCCTCCTCCTCCTCTCCTAATCCTCATCATCCTAATCATCATCAGCAAAAAAAAAAACCAGCAGCAGCAGCAGCAACATTATCATCATCCATCGGCATCATCAGCATTCATCAGCATATAGCATCATCATCATTCATCATCATCATCATCATCATCATCATCATCATCATCATCATCATCATCATCATCTCATCATCATCAGCATCATCATCATCAGCAGCATCATCAGCATCATAATCATCATCAGCATCGTCATCATCATCATCATCAGCATCATCATCATCACCAGCATCATCATCATCATCATCATCATCAGCAGCATCATTATCATTATCAGCATCAGCATCATCAAAATCAGCATCATCATCATCATCAGCATCATCATCATCATCATCATCATCAGCAGCATCGTCATCATCATCATCATGATCATCACCATCACAATAATCGTACTTCTCAGCATACTCAGCAGCAGCATCATCAGCATCATCAGCATCATCAACATCATCACAACCATCATCATCAGCATCAGCGTCATCAGCATCATCATCAGCAGCATCAGCATCAGCATCAGCATCATCATCAGCAGCAGCATCAGCATCAGCATCAGCATCACCATCAGCAGCAGCAACATTACGGTCATCATGATTACCACCAGCATGTTCAGCATCATCACCAGCAACATCATCATCGCCATCAGTGTCATCACAAGCATCATCTTCAGCAGCATCATCACCAGCATCATCATCAGCATCAGCATCGTCATCAGTATCACCATCATCATCACATGTGTCATCAGCATCTTCATCGTCATCATCAGCATCATCATCAGCAGCAGCATCATCATCATCCTCCTCCTCCTCCTCCTCCTCCTCCTC